ATATTTCCATCATTTATAGTTTAGAAATAAAAGTTATGCTTTACATCAGGCATGGGCACATTTGCCCGTAGTGGCTCTTTTGCTCATACGGGCAAGCGAGCCCATTTGGCGGGCTAGATCAGGGGAAATCACTGGAAAACATGAACTCAGTAGGTCGCCAGGTAGTGCTAATTAGGAACACTTTCCACCTCACTTTTCACAACTTCCATGACTAGGGATGGCAGCGATTAATCATTTGATTAAATTAATCGATTATTTTTGTCCAATTTACGATTTAATTGTATCGTATTTTTGTGTTTCATAAATCGCCGCAAGAATTGCTCAAGTTCAGAGCGTACAATGGTAGTTAAAGTGGTCCAAAAATGTATGTAAAAAATAAGGTAGCATTTTTAATGCCGCTAGCCCCTAGGATTGTTCTATACCAAAAAAAATTATACCCCTATTTTTTTATTTTGAAATAAAAAAAAAATTTAGGGTGTGCTCAAAGCGCTCAAAGTTTTCAATGTATTTTATATGGGGAAAAAACAACTTTTCGTAGAAATAGTGTAGAATTCTTTAAAATCAATATTTTTCGATCGGAAAACTTTGCTTATCTTCAGGAGATTCCCGGTAATAATACCCATTTGTTCCTTTAGCAATTTTTTCATGGTGACTATATTTTATGGGTCCTTGAAAATGCAATGGGGGGACCAATAAAAAATCTTTAATCATAAAAAATGGTTAAATAAACAATTGGATATCAATATTTGAAGTCTCCTGAAGAGAACCACAGTTTTACGATTGAAAAATATTGATTTTCAAGAGTTTTATGCCATTTTTACGAAAATTTTTTTTTTCCCCATATAAAATACATGGTCAACTTTGAGCGCGGTGAGCACTCCGTAAATATTTTTTGATTTCAAAATAGAAAAATGGGGGTATATTTATTTTCGGTTCAGAACAATCCTAGGGGGTGGCGGCATTAAAATTCCGACTTTATTATTAACCGACTTCCAAAAAAGGAGGAGGTTATCAGTTCGTCGGAATATTTTTTTTTTATGTATGTTACCGCATAACTTTGGACCACGTCAACCGATTTCGATAATTCTTTTTGCATCAGAAAGGTAGTGTCTCAGAGGTGGTCCCATACTAATCTGGTTAAGATCCGATCAGTGGATCATGAGATATATATATATATATATATTTTTTTATGAGAGTTGAAGTCGGTTTTTTTTTGCTAAAAATTACTTGTTTTGGACCACTCTAATGGTAGTGCAAGTAAGCATTGTCAAAGCTACAAACCTAATGCCGATTTCCCATAGGCATTGAAATGACAAAAAATGTGTCATATAAAAATTGCCCCGTGGCAAGTGGCCGAAAATCGAAAAATTCGTTATCTGCAATATGAACGTGTTTGGTATTTTTGTAAAGGTATAAAATTTAGCCACTAAAAAGAGTTAAATAGAAATTTCCCTATAAAGTGAATTATATGCCGCCAGGAAGCCACTAAAAGCGACAAATTTTATATGTACTAAGAATATTAATAAGAATTTGAGCGTAGCCATGCGTAAGCTCCTCGCCGAAACAAATGTCAAAAATGCATTGTTTGAAATAAAATGTTGGTTTGACGTTTTTTATTTCCATATAGATAGTAGAGCTACAGGATTAAAAAAAAATGGAATAAAATTAATCAAAATTTCAAGAAATGGTAAATTGTAATGGAATGAATAAAAAATATATGTAAAAACATGTTATTTTTTATTATGAACCGACTTCCAAAAAAGGAGGAGGTTATCAGTTCGTCGGAATATTTTTTTTTT